CTGTTCATTATCTGTCCTGTTCATCATCTGTCCTGTTCATCATCTGTCCTGTTCATCATCTGTCCTGTTCATCATCTGTCCTGTTCATCCTCTGTTCTGCTCATCCTCTGTTCTGTTCATCCTCTGTCCTGTTCATCCTCTGTCCTGTTCATCATCTGTCCTGTTCATCCTCTGTTCTGTTCATCCTCTGTTCTGTTCATCCTCTGTCCTGTTCATCCTCTGTTCTGTTCATCCTCTGTCCTGTTCATCCTCTGTTCTGTTCATTCTCTGTCCTGCTCATCCTCTGTCCTGTTCATCCTCTGTCCTGTTCATCATCTGTCCTGTTCATCATCTGTTCTGTTCATCCTCTGTCCTGTTCATCCTCTGTCCTGCTCATCCTCTGTTCTGTTCATCCTCTGTTCTGTTCATCCTCTGTTCTGTTCATCCTCTGTTCTGCTCATCCTCTGTCCTGTTCATCCTCTGTTCTGCTCATCCTCTGTCCTGTTCATCCTCTGTTCTGTTCATCCTCTGTCCTGCTCATCCTCTGTCCTGTTCATCCTCTGTTCTGTTCATCCTCTGTTCTGTTCATCCTCTGTCCTGTTCATCATCTGTTCTGTTCATCCTCTGTTCTGTTCATCCTCTGTTCTGTTCATCCTCTGTTCTGCTAATCCTCTGTCGTGTTCATCCTCTGTCCTGTTCATCCTCTGTCCTGTTCATCCTCTGTCCTGTTCATCCTCTGTCGTGTTCATCCTCCGATTTATTTTGACCGTGTGTCCTCCAGTTTGTTCCCATATCTGTTCCCTTCTAATATGGTCGTGTGTATACCCGGAACCGAGCTAGTTCGTAAGATAAAATTGTAACACAGATATAGGTTTTAACAGAAGCAGTGGACGTAACAGTAGCAGTGGATGTAACAGTAGCAGTGGATGTAACAGTAGCAGTGGATGTAACAGTAGAAGTGGTGGTTGCATTGGTAAAGTAACCTTAGTAGATTAATACGCTGCAGAAACAAATGAGCTCCGATAGTTAGGAAATCGAAGATCCAACTTAATAGCAGCCGGTTCACTCTATAATTATTCCGCTCCTGTGCCTAAAGAAAACTACATTTAACGTCCATACGCTCAGTTAGTCTTTCCTAGAGCCTAGGGCGGCACATAGGGCAGAGATCATAGCCACCTGTTTTAGGTCTTAGATGTTATTGAGGCCCCATGTTTGAGCAAAGCTGTATGATAGGCGTGCTTTGAATGCACAAGGCAGCTGTCAGAATCAGGGCTGCCAATGTGATTCTTTTGAAAAACCTAGCTTAGTTGAACAAAAACCCAAGCAATACAAAGACAAAGAACAAAAATACAAAATAAAAAACCCAGACTGTTAAAATTTACAAAAATTGTTTTTACGAAACGAAACATTTACCACTTTTATATAAGGATATATTTAAAAAAAAAACCAGATTTCCCCCAGACGTCAAATAAAAACCCAGATCTGGGGGAAAAACCCAGCATTGGGAGCCCTGGTCAAAATGCCAACACAATATGCCGAGCAACCAGAACAGCAGTTTACATCGACGGAAGCAGCACCTGCAACAAATCAGTAAGTGCACATGGAATTAACCTCATAAGGCACCATCAGTGCTCTGGCAACAGGCTACTAATCATTTTCCTGATCTGCAGTTCAAAATACAAGCCTCGTTGTGCGCAGTCAAAAATCACTCCAAATGTAATCAGCAGCTCACAGTGTCCCGCCATGCACTCAGAACAGTAGCTGGGTGAAGCAATTATCCTTTCAGTCTAAACATGGAGAAAAATACAAGGGATAACTATTGCAACAAGCAAAAACTTGACAGCGACTAAAAACTTTAAGCCTATTGACCGAAATCACAGCACTAGTCGATTATCGTAAACAACCAACTTTTTGCATGCCCGTATGCCTGTCAGATTTATAGTGTTGGACCTAAATTCCATAGGGAAGTCGCCATGACGAAGAGACTAGACGCTAGCCTGTTGATCGCAGAGTCGTGCGTTCGAGTCCTGGCGGAGTCGGAAATTGTTTTCAAAAATGACCTTGAATCCCAGGTCGACACAGCCCTGAATGGGTATAAGTTACAGTCCTGGGAAATAAAGGCCGTCGGCGTAATGCTGACCACATGACCCACCAAGTGCTGACTGGTATATCAAATATAGGTCTAGTCCTATATTCTCAATACCCCAGTAGACGTGGAAAAGTGCCGTTTACTTTTACTTTATTATTTACACCAATCAGCGCTCAGTGGGTGATATGATCAGCATCACGCCGGCCGCCTTTACTTTACTTGGACCCAATAAAAACTGATTCTACATGGAAACTAATGTTATTTTTTAAGGAAAATCATTCGATTATGTGCGAATTTAAACCCACAACACTCGGGCCCAAGCCCAACATCTAAACCGCTACACAGCGGTAGCTTTCAGTGTATCAGTAATAGTGAAAGTGGTGTTGGTTTGCTATTAGAATGGTTTAAACGATTTGGACGTAGACGACCTGGCATTTATTTTGAGAGTTGTATCTAGTGTTGACCGTTAAAAGGGCAATGGCAAACTACTGAACATAACATTATCATGTAAAATAAAACAGCAGAAAAGTGCAGGGCTTGGTGATGTCAAGTCCGTTTAAAGAAAAGCTTCTAACTAAGTAGTAGTACTAGAAGTTGTTGTAGTAGTAGAAGAAGTAGTAGTATTAGTAGTATTAGTAGTAGTAGAAGTAGTGATAGTAGTAAAAGTAGCAAGGTAGCAGTGACGTATAATGAAGCAGTTATAATTTGTAGTTCCACTAACATTGGCATTTGTAATAGATGCAGAATGTGTAATAATTCTTTGTACCTGTACAGAGGTATTCTTAGCTGTAATGATGGTGGCGATTGAGATCATAATAGTAATAGTAGTAGCAGTAGTTGAAGTAGCAGTATATTTTTATTTTAATGGATATAGTGGAAATAGCAGTAGTGGAAATAGCAGTAGTGGTAAAATTTGAACTTTTAATGGTAGAGTTCATTTTGAAGTAGCAGTGTAGAAAACAGTAGTAAAATATCATTAGTATCCATAAAAGTAAAAACAGTCGATTCCGTAGCAGTAATAGAAGTTAGTAATGGCGCAGATGTGATCTTTCTGGCTAATGTTGGATGTGCTCCTGCTAGTAGAACTAACAGAGCTGAAGTCACCATGTATGTAGTTACACTCTCAGTAGTAGTCGTCGTCAAGAATGCCCTGTTACTATCTACCACAGCGAGCCACACTAAAACGTTACAACGGGTATAGAGCGAGCGGAAGACGTCGGAACATATGGAGGGATGGCATTAAGACCAGGCTTACTGAAATGAAAATCAATCTTAACAGTGCTCTTGAGAGAGCTCGTCAACAAACGTTACATCTTCCCCGGCACTTCGCTGAGGTACAGGTGAAAGAGGAGGAGGAGGAAGAAGATGCGGACGAGAAGAAGAAGAAGAAGAAGAAGTAGAAGAAGAAGAAAAAGAAAAAGAAGAAGAAGAAGAAGAAGAAGAAGAAGAAGAAGAAGAAGAAGAAGAAGAAGAAGAAGAAGAAGAAAAAGAAGAAGAAGAAGAAGAAGAAGAAGAAGAAGAAGAAGAAGAAGAAGAAGAAGAAGAAGAAGAAGACGAAGAAGAAGAAGAAGAAGAAGAAGAATAAGAAGAAGAAAAAGAAGAAGAAGAAGAAAAGAAGAAGAAGAAGAATAAGAAGAATGGTGCTAGTTATTTCTTACACTTGAAACACAAAATGACATCATTTTCCAGAAGAACATGGTTTCCTTTACGGGATTTATTTGGTTATATTTGTGGGTTCACTGAAAGAACACATGAAGTATACGATTGTTACTGGGTGAGAGGCATTAATAACACTCTGGAGGATGGGAGGTGCAGTTTCCAGAAAACGATGCAGAAGCCGTCCTTCCTGCATGTGGATAGAGGACATCAAATATGCATCGGTAATTGAGGCACGCAGTGCTGGATTATTGGCTAGAGAGAGAGAAAGAGAGAGAGAGAGAGAGAGAGAGACAGAGAGAGAGAGAGAGCGACAGACTTCCATGTGTGTGGTGGAGATAGTGACGTTCTGTTACGGACCTGTGGATTGACTGATGCTGCAAGCAGGCACAACGCAATTAGGTCACTGCGACGAACGATAATAAACATTTGATAAAGAGAGCAGTGGCTGGTCAAATCTAAGAACGCATGGCCTTCTTGTAATACCCGGATTCAAATATTCGTTAAGTTTGAGGATTTCTTTTCTGTCGGAGGCTAAAAGAAAATCCAAACAGGCATAGTCCCTGGCGATTAGCATGCGGCCCTAAATCTTTACAGACGAAGACTGTCTTGAAAACACAGCACTTGTTGTAAATACAGACAGTTTTGGTAGCAGTACTAGCAACCATAAAGACAGTATGTTTAAGTTTAGGGCATATACACTACTTGTGATTAAATTAAACATTAATATTCTTCGGAAGTATTAGAAATTAAGATAGTGTACATAACTAAACTGAAAAAAAAAATTATATATAGGGAATGACTTCTGTTTTCGAATATCAATGTTATTGTTGTTATTGTTTGATGTAAGTAAGACACGTGTGTACAGTTGACTGTTTTATCTGTCTTCTCCAGAATGACCAAAACAAAGAGCAGTCTGATCTTGGTGGTGTGTCTGCTGGGTCTAGCATCCACACTGAGCCAGTCTCGTATCTCCGAGCGAGGATTGGATAATCGCAGCAGACAGGATGATGTCATTACAACCACACCTGATGGTGACCATCGTCAAAATCCAAAAGAAAGTTGGCAGACGAGCAATGATGATGCGACTCTTAATATTGGTAATGAGGATTTGAACGCATCTTCTAAATCAGCAATGAAATATACGGCGACTAAGAAATACAGAGGGGAACTGAAAATAAATGGAAATACACAGTCAATATATGCAAACGAGAATTCACAAGACAAGGGCAAGAAATCAACTAAACCTTCCTTTCTCAGTTTATCTTCCAGTCCGATGAACATCAACGACGTCCTTAAAGCGGGATCTAGACCTGACGAACTCCTCAGATCATTTCGTGATAACTTCAAGGACTGCTTCCGCTGTCTGCCTTGTCATTGTTACTTTACATTCTTACAAGATATTGTAGCTTCCTGCAATTCCCAAATCGATCAGATTAAGGCAGTTCTTCCAAATGACACAAACCAATTAACCATCTCCAACTCTTCAATGGGGATTTTTGATGCGACATGTTTCCTACAGTTTCATAGCTTGAGAGTTCTGACGGTTTCCAAAAACAAAAAATTGTCGACAATAGCCAATAGTTCAGACAGCAGCCATGTGTTGGCAGTCACAATATTACATTTAGACTCTAACTCCGTTAACAAAATAATGGACAGAAGTTTCGTCATGTTCCCAAATTTGCTGTTTCTCGATCTGAAACACAACCAAATCAAAACTATTTCTAGACTCACTTTTGACGGTCTGACCAATCTGAAATACCTAAATCTATCAAGAAATCCCTTGTCAGTCTTGTCAAATGGCTCATTTGACCACTTTCAGCAACTAGAAATCCTGGATCTGAGCTGTGACAAAATTTGGAATCTGATTACACCAGGTCTGTTTTCGAATCTGTCAAGTTTGCATAGTTTATTCATGAATGGAAACTGTTTTTATGCCAAGGGCTATCCCAACGAAGAAATGGGAAGATTGACAAACTTGACCGTTCTATCCATCGCTGGTATTTCAGGAAAAGTTACTTTAGGTCCAGAGATGAAAAATCTCACAAAGTTGGTCAGACTGCATGTGGGATACTCACTATCCAAACAATGCTGTATCAAAGACATCCCAGATTCTTTCTTGGAAAACGTTCCCTACTTACAGGCAGTTCGATTCTCTAAATGCCCTTTGAGAAGCGTGAATGCCACCGTTTACAGAAACGTAAAGCACCTCAGATCGCTGGAGATTATTTCTACATACCCGTATGATATTTTTGAAGCTCTGGATGGACTTGTCGAACTGCAGAACTCATCACTTAAAACTTTGAGGTTGATTGGACTTATCAAACGCGGTTGTCCTTTTATTTGCTTGTACGGGCAACATGCTAGATATCTTAAAAATATAAATTTGGAGGTGATCGATTTGTCAGACAATCGTGTCGGGTACATGGACATGGAGTTCATCACGGCCTTGCCACACACACTGACGTCCCTTGTGCTACATGGAAACGAGCTTATTGAACCTGCTCTACTAACAGACAAACTGTCATTCCTAGAAAAACTTATATTACTTGATCTAGGATATTATCCAGATCCTGTATCCAACACCAAAATGTTCCATACACAGGCTGGATGTGACACATCCCAGACTCAAGTCTGCAGTTTGCTCATGGAAAGCTACGACGACTGCGAAGGCAGGAGTGATTCTGATAATACAGAATCATTAGAGGATTGTAAATGGTCAGCTTCTGAAGAGCGGTCTAATGAAGAGTTTTTATACAAAACAAATGTCACACAAGTACCTCCTGTGTGTACAGAGCTAAACAGTACTACTGACAGCAGTGATGTTGTAGGTCTCAATGTAACTAATCTAAACTCTCTAAAATACTCGCCCAGAAGCTTCAGTGCGACTGTACATAAAGCGTCAATGTTAAAATATCTTCTAGCACCCCGATTCCTAGAGGTGAATGTGAAAGATGTGTTTGCGAGCATTAGACATCAAGGATATATGAACATAACAAAAATTGACTTATCATACTGTGGCCTACCTTCGTTAACCCATTGTACGTACATGCCAAAATCTATCCAAGTGGCGAGCTTCGAAGGTAACTACTTCAGAACTATGCATGAGCACGTTTTTGGCCAGAACAACTCCTTGAGGCGTCTATCTTTGAGTAACAACGTCCTCGGTAATTTATTTGCCAACCCGCGCAAAAAACCCTTCACAAGGATGAGTAACCTTGAGCATCTTGATATATCAACGAATATGATTTATGACCTGTCTGTTAACTTCTTTCTCGGTTTAAGCAATTTAAAATGTTTAATCATGTCTGACAACAAACTCGGGTTCCTCAGCACAAACTTCACTAAAACCCCAGAGCTGGAGTATTTGGATCTCAGAAAAAACGCCATTACAGGGATTAGCAAAAGCAGCCGCGATGAGCTAGACACCATCGGGACCAACCACCCACTCTATATTGAGCTGACATTGAATCCTCTACGTTGTACATGTGAGGGACTGGAGCTGCTCTACTGGATCAGGGAAGCAAATATTCACTTTGTCAGCAAGGATCTTCTTAGCTGTGTTGGAGATGACAACATTGCCGAAGACATGGGAAACATTGACGATCGTGTCAGAACTTTACAGCGACAATGTGCCGGCAAATATCTGATCATAGTTCTTCGTGTGGCGTCGCTGGCTGTAATTTCTGTTCTTGTTGTGTTTGGTGTGATGTATCGCTACAGATGGCAGCTGAGGTATATCCGAAACATTGCCTTATCGAGGCTTATTGGGTTCAGACCCCGAGACACTGAAAATTCGGAGTTCAGATTTGACGCGTTTATTGTGTACAGTGAAATGTCTCGACAGTTTGTGTTTGGCGACTGTCTGCGAGAGCTGGAGGTGAAACGAGGACACAAAGTGTGTGTGGATGATCGGGACTTCATGCCGGGGACATATGATGTGTCGGCCATCGTTAGCGCCATACAGAACAGCAGGAAGACAATGCTGATTCTCTCTCCAGACTTCTACGACGAGCAGTTCTCTGAATACTCCGTCAAGATGGCGTTGATGGAAGAAATTTACCAGAAGAGAACAGTTCTATATCTTTGTTTATACCGACCCTTACCAGACGATGAAATGTCTAAAAGATACGATTTATTGATGATTATGAAACGAAATAACTACATGGAATTTCCACCAGAAACAGAAACAAGCGATGGAGTCAGGCAAAATTTTTGGGATCAGCTATCTGAGAAAATTGGTCATTCTATTGTCAAAAATCTACCAACTTCATCAGAGTCTGAAGACGACATACTTGTGTATTTATAGTAGAGCATTGTTCCGCTACAATATATATAAATGGCAACGACAATAATGTTTCTATATATATAGATGTAGGTTTACCCACATAGTTTGGCTAACATTAGCACAACTACTAGTAAACTACTAAAGCTGTAAATATAACTATTAGTTTTCCTGCCGTATTGCTGCTGCTACAGGAAACTACCATTATGATTGGCTAATAAACAGCATCCTTTCTCGAAAGCTGAAATATTTTGGTCATATCAAGCGCCATGACGGATTGGAAACAATTATAGCAGAAGGCATGGAACCAGGAAGGAGGGGCAGGGGCCGACCGACACGAAGATAGGCACAGGATATAAGTGACTCCTTGAGTGTGAAAGTGCATGATGCTGGAGAACTGGCGAGAGACCGAGTTTCTTTCAGGCAAACTTTGATGAGAGCAACGTTTTGCAAAGGACCAGCTACATGATGATGATGATTGCTGCTGCTGCTACTCATACCACTACTTCTTCTGCGGCTGCACCGCTGCTGCTGCATTACTGCTACTACTATTACTGCTGCCTCTAATACTACTAGACTGCTACTTATACTTCTACTACTACTACTAATATAAACACTACCACCATTATTTATGCTGCTGTTGAGCGGCTGTTTGTTGTGTTGTGGTTGCAGATACTATTACCACAAATAATAATATAATTATCAGAGATAGTATTTGTGTGAGTACTGCTCCTAGATCACTCAGCAACAACACGAAACTTAAGGTCTTCAATTCCTGTGTGATCCCAGTGCTAACTTATGGTTGTGAGAGTTGGAAATCATCAGTATCAATCGATAAGAAACTAGTCGCTTTCGAGAATAGATGCCTCCGAAAGCTATTGAATGTTCACTGGTCGGACTTTAGGTCCAATACATCTATAAGACAGGAAACAAAACAAAAATATGTGTCTGATTTTATTAGAATGCGTCGCTGGAATTACATCGGTCACGTACTCAGAATGGACATACAGAGACTTCCCCACCAAGCCTTCATATGGTCACCAGAGGGTAAAAGAAAACAGGGAAGACCAAAAGAAACTCTCCGTAGAACCATCACAAGGGAGAGCTCAACCATAGGTCTCAGTCGCACTCAAGACCTACATCAAGTGGCAACGAACCGACGGACGTGGAAAGCTATGACCTCTGCCCTATGCGCCATCTTTGGCACAAGAGGAATAACTAACTAACTAACTAACTGCTCCTACCACTATTGCTGTAACTAATAATATTGTTATTGTTACGATTGCAACGTCTGCCACTTCTACTGCTACTAAAACTACCCATTTCACAGTTTCTCCCATTTCTTTTCATCCTACTCCTCTTTATCCTCCCGCTTCTTCTTCTTCTTCTTCTTCTTCTTCTTCTTCTTCTTCTTCTTCTTCTTCTTCTTCTTCTTCTTCTTCTTCTTCTTCTTCTTCTTCTTCTTCTTCTTCTTCTTCTTCTTCTTCTTCTTCTTCTTCTTCTTTCTTCCTCTTCTTCTTCTTCTTCTTCTTCTTCTTCTTCTTCTTCTTCTTCTTCTTCTTCTTCTTCTTCTTCTTCTTCTTCTTCTTCTTCTTCTTCTTCTTCTTCTTCTTCTTCTTCTTCTTCTTCTTCTTCTTCTTCTTCTTCTTCTTCTTCTTCTTCTTCTTCTTCTTCTTCTGCTTCTTCTTCTTCTTCTTTTTCTTCTTTTTATTCTGCATAGTATATATCCGCACTTTTTCTGCTGTATGAACAGCAAGATCTCGTATACATCACACAGAGCTGTGTTCAGATTATTACCTTTTACTGCTTTATTTTAATAAAATCTTACACTCCAGTGTCTCGTATTTTGCTTAGCCTCTGGCCGTTTATTGTGACTTCTTGGGCGCTTCTGTTACTTTTACCGTCTCTTTTCATATTACAAGTTTTTGATTTACAAAAAAAGAGTGAAATAAATTTTGTGCAGCTTACGCGATCAACGTTGACTGCAGTGTATAAATGTTTATGTGCTTCCACTGTGTGTGTGTACGTGCACGCGCGCGAGTGTGTGTGTGTGTGTTTTGTGTTTTAAGTAAACTGACATAGTGATTTCACACTCTTTTCCTCTTTACGACTGTGTTCTAATGTACTAACGTCAAGGCATACAGATACCACTAACATAAGACCCTAGTTTAATAAGAAATGAGAAATCCGTTTACTATCGTCTAAGCTACCAAACTACTAAGTTAACACATAATGGTAATCTCATCCTGACAAAACAATCGTGCTCGCACTCTATCTACATGTATACGTTTATCTCTGTTGCAGAATCATTGTCCTGGTGGCTCTATTGAGGTGTGCAAACTTATTCGTGCGATAATGCAGCTGCTAACGGTCTACTTTAAGCTTCTTGTTTCTAATATTTATATAGGATTGTTAATGTTTTGCTTTGTTTTTATGCATTGCAATAATGGACACTTGGAGGAAGGCGAGAGGACGACACAGAAAGGGAGGGATAAATGCTGTAGTTAAAACCTGCAAAAAGATGAACACCCGAGAAGCGCAAGACAAATACAGACATACAACCACAAGAGGCTTCCGTGGCTTAGGCGCTGCCAGTCCCACCCGTAATTCTAACCTACCGCGATCGAAACCCACTGCTGGCTATGTGGAGTTGTATCATGCTTTGGGGGGTCGCAGGTCAACCCAGTCTAAAATGGGTACCACGATTGCTGTCCTGGGGAAGTAAAGACGGCTGGCGACCACATTACCCACCTAGTGCAGAAAGGTATGTAAAAATATATATGTGCTCTTCTAGTATGCCCAATGTGCTTGAAGCCGTGAAAAGGGATCTTTACTTTACAGACAGCCACGACACTGGGCTTCAACGTGGTATCATTGAGACGACAAAAGAAGAAGCGGAAGACTCATATGCCACGCCTAATTATTTTATGTTGTTTTCAAGTTTGAAATATGCGATATGTGTTACTTGTTTGTGCTAGCATGACGACAATCACGTTGTGTTTTAAAACGGATTACATTTTAGAGGCTAAGTTCGCCCGGCTCTCTAGCGTAGTTGGCTAAACCTGATTGCGCGGTGACCGGGTGACGAAACCCTTGTGGTTCGGGTTTACTCCCTGGGGTAGGCAGAAAAGCCACATTTCTCCTAGATTTACAGTATTTACAATGGAATGAAGGCCGAAAGGTTGCGATATCCATAATACCGAGCCTAATGGTTAACATGGCTTCTGGATACTAAAACAAACAAACAAATAGGCTAAGTTCGACACGCAGAAGATATAACATGAAAAAGAAAATACTACTAAAACTGACGTCATGCAGATCAGCAGAATTTCTAGTCCGCTACATATCGGGTTGGATGGTACTTGTCTGAAGTTAGCTAAGGAATTTAAATATCTAGGAAGTATGTTCTAAGAGGACGGAATAAAAGATCGGGAAATAGAAACAGAATACTAACTAGCCAGTGTACCTATGTACCAGCAGACGTCATTATTAAAACGATTATGAACAGTATAGTAATACCAGAATTGTGCTACCAGTGCAAGACTTGGACATTATCAACGGCTAACCTGTGTGAAATCAACACTTCTGAAATTAGGTGTCTGAGAAAAACCGCCAACTTAACCATCTGAGAGAAAGTTAGAAATTAAAATATCAGACTATAGGAACAGCACCATGCAGACAATTCTTTGAGAAACAGATGAAGGGTTTATTCAACCACAGGATATCTTCTTTGGTTGTGGCCTCAGAGCATGTGTACCCATGCCATCTGTTGCAGCAATATGTGATATTTGCGCCTACTATATCTCTCATATGTGGCAGATGATCTCCAGATGGGTGTATCAGACGCAGGACATCTTGCTCATGATAGGAAGGTTTTCCGGAGGGTTGTTATGGCAGCGGGGTTCCGCGAGGGACATGCTACTGAATGAATGAAATATCTCTCATTAAAGTATATTAAGTTTTGGCTTTTCGCCATAGTTCTCTTCTGCTTTCTCCTTTGTACCTAAGTTCATTAACTTGTATCTTTCCCGCCAGTCATTCACTTGGGGGGGGGGGGGGGGGGAGATCAAGGGCAGTAGCCTAGCTGCAGGATGTTGACTGCTGACTACCCAAAGGTCAAAGATTCAAATCCGTCAGGGAGCGAAATGCTTTTGCTTTTTTTCGGGGGTGGGGGATGGGTCTCGGCTCTAAAGTCAACCAAGCTTAATATGAGTACCAGGCACTGTCATGGGAAGCAAATGCAATCATCAGGGTGTGGACTATATAACCCATTATGTGCTGATTGGCAGATAAATTTAGGTACAGCAATCAATGCCGGTGGTGTGACAACGTATTTATGTGTGTTTGTAGCAAGTCTATGATTAAAATGTTCCGGTTAGTTCGAAGATATTTTTCAGGTTAGATTGACGTTAGTCTCCCTAAATAGAGTAGGTCACTTTTCAAGTTTGTTGGGCTAGTCGACTTTCCTGAAGGTTATGTGTGTGTCCCGCTCTGTTGTTTGGTTTCTGCGATGTCTTACATTTATGATTTCATTCTAAGAAAGATAATGTCTGTGACATAGTTGCAGCACTCTCTAGGGTGTTGTGTCAGACCCAGTTTCTCCATGTTTTTGGAATGTTAAAAGAGCTGGCGTGCTGAAATATACAATGCGCGATATGAGCGGCATTGCGGAACACATTTGTAACCGTGTGCGAAGGTTACGGGGCTCAGGAACTACCAATTGGAAGTGAACTAGTGAGTATATTCAGGGTCTGGGGAGACTAACTGTTGCGTGCTGATTCATGTGAGTTGTAACCTTGGGGCACGACAACATAGCGGAAATAGTGTTGTCGGGAGTCCACGATAATGTTCGGCTACATGTGTCAAAAGCATGATTTGTACGAGATAGCCGCGATGCACGGAGGAAGGCTGCTAGCGTGCTTCTCGTGGGGCTCGAGCCTCCCATAAGGTGCAGGCAAGGGTATATACCGGGGTCTAGTAGACAGACAGAGACAGAAAGTGTACCACAGTACGAGTCAGACAGT